AGAACAGCTAGTAAATGTCTGGTTAAATAAACAGGACTGGGGATTGAGAAAATTCATTGTTGAAAATTAAGATAAGTCTGCTTCAAGTTTCTTCTTCATTTGTGAGGTGATTGTCCAGCATTCACTGCCATATAGGAGGACTGATATTACGTAACAGTTCAGTACTCTTTTCTTTGTTTCTGTTGTTTCAAGTCTCTTCTTCATCTGTGAGGAGATTGTCCAGCATTCACTGCCATATAGGAGGACTGATATTACATAACAGTTCAGTACACTTTTTCTTTGTTTCTCTTGTTTCAAGTCTCTCTTCTTCATCTGTGAGGAGATTGTACAGCATTCACTGCCATATAGGAGGACTGATATTACGTAACAGTTCAGTACTCTTTTCTTTGTTTCTCTTGTTTCAAGTCTCTTCTTCATCTGTGAGGAGATTGTACAGCATTCACTGCCATATAGGAGGACTGATATTACGTAACAGTTCAGTACTCTTTTCTTTGTTTCTGTTGCTTCAAGTCTCTTCTTCATCTGTGAAGAGATTGTCCAGTATTCACTGCCATATAGGAGGACTGATATTACGTAATAGTTCAGTACTCTTTTCTTTGTTTCTCTTGTTTCAAGTCTCTTCTTCATCTGTGAGGAGATTGTCCAGCATTCACTGCCATATAGGAGGACTGATATTACGTAACAGTTCAGTACACTTTTCTTTGTTTCTCTTGTTTCAAGTCTCTTCTTCATCTGTGAGGAGATTGTCCAGTATTCACTGCCATATAGGAGGAATGATGTTACGTAACAGTTCAGTACTCTTTTCTTTGTTTCTGTTGTTTCAAGTCTCTTCTTCATCTGTGAGGAGATTGTCCAGCATTCACTGCCATATAGGAGGAATGATATGATCAACGCTCTTTTCTTTGTTTTTGGTTGCCTGAATTTTTTATATGTGATGGATTGATTGTTCCAAGGAGAGGGTTTAAAATTTTTGTTATGACTTTTGCTAGTTTGTGGGGAGTGATGTCTATTCCTGAAATAATGGATCATATTGGGATGCCTGTTTTGTGGATTTTAGGGAGACTGTAAACAATCAGTCCATCACATATAAAAAAATTCAGGCAACCTAACTGAAAAACTAATGCCTTATTTTAATTTTAATTTGTTTTAGTATTTTATTTTCCTATTTTATTTTTACATTTGGGCTCGCTGCAGAATCAAGGGACATGACAATGGGCAAAATTGACTGAAAAGTGAAGCCAGCTAGCTGTGAAAAATTTTTATGGAGTTCAAAATGTAAGGAGATAAGAACAGAGACTGTAGAGTCAAGAAAATATTCCCCCGTAGTTGGCAGGGGAGAAGAGGTGGATTCATACCTTTCCCCAGGGTAGATGCATGTAATCAAATATAACAAACCCAACTGAAATCTCCAATTAACAAGTCTGAGCCATTATCCATTACACCACCGGCACATCCAAGCTTACAGAACCTGGTATTCCCAAGTGGTCACCCATCTAAGTACTGACCAGGCTTGTTGTTGCTTAACCAGTGTTTCAACATGATATGGCCATAAACCCAGGAAGAAGTCTTTTTTTTTAGGAAAATCACCCCAAGCAAGGCGGGAGTGCCACTAGCATGTAAAGAGTTACAGAGGATTGAGAACAAGACTAAAGAGGTGTGTTTGAGTAAAGGATACAGAGAAGAACGGGGAACAAGCTCAGGGTGTCAGATGTCGATTGGCATTACACTTGAATATTTGAAGATTATAGTCATCAGAGAAGCAAGTAAGGGGAAGGGAGTTCCACAGACGAGAAGTGCGGGAGAAGAAGCTGTTTGAGTAGAAGAGACGATTACATTTAACCATTTTGACAGTGAAAGGGTGAGACCAAGATGACAGACTGTAAGTATAAATTATTAAGTAAATAAAGATACTGACTGTAATAAACTTGTGCTAATATTGCAAAGGTAAGTCATGAAAATACCTATTCCAAAATGTTCACAATTATTATTTCCTGTCAGGTGTTACTTAGTGAGGAGATGGGTGCTGCCAAGTAAAATGCCATTAAGATGTCAGCATAGAAAACAAACAATCTAGTGGGTAATGAAAAAAAAAGAATTGAATCCATCTAAATCATTTCTGCTGTTGATACTGTGTAAAAAATACAACCTGTCTTGTGTTACTTAGAGAGGAGATGGGTGCTGCCAAGTAATCCCTATTTCCCTGAGATAGGAGATTATTGTGTATGCGGGTGTGGAAAGGGACGTAAAGCATGGAGTGAATGTAAGAGGATGTTTTTTTAATATGTTTCTCTTTACCAATTTAAATAATTTTCAGAAATAGCTTGGATAAAACTTTATTGAATCCAGTGTTTGTGATAATGCTTTATTAACAGATCACGACATCTATCAGAGAGATGAAATTTAAATTTTTATTTTATTATTCTAAAATTTTAGCACATCGGCAGATAGCTATTAATGTCAACAACTGAGCACAAAATAGTTATTAATTAAAATAATTAGTAATTAATGTATAATATTATCCATAACTACATGTACAAGAATGTCGTTTTTGATAAAAGTTAAAAAATAAATATCAATACATAAAAAATGCGTACATTGTTGAAAATTCCTTTTCCTACAATATAGCTATTTGTGATATGTTATAATGCTTATTATCTAAACAATAATAATACTGAATAAAAATTTTGTGAACATTAAAGTATATTTAATCACATCTGCCTAAACTGTCGTGATCTATCAGTCCAAGAGAGTTGATCATTCTTATTAGGCTATACATGCAAAGGGAGATAACTCCTGTCAATTTAGTTAGCCATGTTTACTTTTCCTATTGGACCAGAATCTCTTTTTTAAAACATTAAAGTATATTCCATCACATCTCCCTAATAGCTGTCACAATCTGTAAATAAAAAAATATTTGTTATAATACCTTATTGAATAAGATATTTATTAGTACTTTGCTGAATAAAATATATATATTTACAATGCTACATTAAACAAAATAAATACTATCTGTTATAATTATTGAATAAAACAAAATACTTATTATGATACTTTATTAAATCAAATAATATTTAATCTTTGTTATATTTCATCAAATCAAATGAAATATTTGTTATAATATTTGTTGAATAAAATATTTAATATATGTTATAAAACATTAATAAAATAAAATATTTGTTTTCCATCTGCTGAAAAGTATTGCATCAATTTAAAAGGGAAAAAATGATCAGCTACAATCGAATATTTCGAGAAACCCGGAAACAGCATGAAATAAACTGTAAATATAATCAGTCGACATTTTAGTTTATTTATATGAAACGATTGTAATTGAAATATTAAATCAATAAGGTAACAGAAAGAAGAATTTTGATCAGGTTTCATTCCCCCACCACCTCTAAATTATTCTCAATATAGAAATATATGTTTATAATGGATATATTTTAGTATTGTATTTAATCAAAATATTTAGTTTTCTAATTAAATCATTTAATTCAAACTTTATTTCTTAAATATAAATACATATGAATAAATCTGAAATGTTCTTGGCCAGATGTAATTCCTAAAAAGATGTCCTGGTCTGACCAAGCATTTTTCAGCATATCCACACACACACACACACACACACACACACACACACACACACACACACACACACACACACACACACACATATTAGTTATCTACTAGTCATTTCAAATTTATTCACATTCTTGCTAAAGAAAATATTTGTTTCATTACTAAAGAATTTTTTAAAATATATAGAAAATTATTTACTAGACTTATATGTTTATTCATTTGTATAAATATCTACGTAAGTATTTATTCAAACTGCACTAAGTATTTATCTGGAAGGAAAGTTCTTACAGTTTCTAAATAAATTGGATTATTTAAAAACTGTGAGAATATTCCATCCAGCCAGATATATACCTATGTATAAATTTCAATTTACTAAATATTTCTATAAATTTCAATTTATTTCTATAAATTTCAATTTAGTAAATATTTCTATAAATTTCAATTTACGAAATATTTCTATAAATTTTAATTTACTGAATATTTCTGTAAATTTCAATTTACTAAATATTTCTATAAATTTCAATTTACAGAATATTTCTATAAATTTCAATTTACGAAATATTTCTATAAATTTCAATTTAGTAAATATTTCTATAAATTTCAATTTACGAAATATTTCTATAAATTTCAATTTAGTAAATATTTCTATAAATTTCAATTTACGAAATATTTCTATAAATTTTAATTTACTGAATATTTCTATAAATTTCAATTTACGAAATATTTCTATAAATTTTAATTTACTGAATATTTCTGTAAATTTCAATTTACTAAATATTTCTATAAATTTCAATTTATTTCTATAAATTTCAATTTACGAAATATTTCTATAAATTTCAATTTACGAAATATTTCTATAAATTTTAATTTACTGAGTATTTCTATAAATTTCAATTTACGAAATATTTCTATAAATTTTAATTTACAGAATATTTCTATAAATTTCAATTTACTAAATATTTCTGTAAATTTCAATTTACTAAATATTTCTATAAATTTCAATTTATTTCTATAAATTTTAATTTACTAAATATTTCTATAAATTTCAATTTATCAAATATTTCTATAAAATCTTATTCACTCAGGGTTTCTATAAATAATCTAAATTTTCTATAATGTCTATTCATCATGTATTTCTATAAATATCTATTTAATATTTCTATAGCAATTTACTAAACATTTCTATAAATAACTATTTAAAAAGTTTTCCTATAAAATGTCTATTTACTCAGTATTTTTAGATGTTATATATTCAACAAAATCAACTTTACTGACACAAAACTTTTAATTTAAATCATTAATGAATGAGAAATAATAGCATAAAAAATAATTTGGGGATCAGATTATCACTAATTATCTGCTCGTTTACAAAATTTAAATAAATTTTCTTTTTTTGTTGCTGTCGATTTATTTTCAGCTGAATTTCACAGGAATACGAAACGTTTCTGTTCTTTGTCAATTTCAGCATTGAACTTGTTGATTTCTGCATTTGTCGTTTCTGTATATTTATCCAGAAACTCATCCAAATCTGTACAGAATTAAGGAAAACAATGTGCATATATGCAAAGCACAATCTGCATACACACACAAATACATACATACATACATACATAAATGTTAACATTGTTAATTTCTTGGAGCTTTGAAGAGATGTGACATCTCTCCTTGAATTCAGAATGCCACAAATTATACTAATGTTGTTTAACAAGTCAAAGGCATGTGAATCCTGCTTAACCAATGAAAATCAAACAACACAAAAATAAAAATATCAGAATTTCTTTCTTCTTTTTCTCCATATAACATTCTCTGGAGAAGCTTTAATAGAAGTGAAACTTTATATTAATAAAAATTTCCTCTTGTCCTTTATCCTTTCATTCTGTTGAACTTAAAGTTTATATATATATATATATATATATATATATATATATATATATATAGAGAGAGAGAGAGAAGAGATAGATATATATAATATAATGTAATATATATTCAAACTAATATTCTATGGTTATAATTTATTACATTGGAATCATAATTACAATACAATACATCAGACCTACAAATTCAAAGCTGAATTGTATTGTGATTATGACTCTAATGTAATAAACTATAACCATTGAATATTAGTGTTTCAGCCTTTTATATCATATTATATTCTTACTCTGTCCTTGACATTGAGTTCTACTTGGATTCTATCCTCTTGGGAATTATATATATATATATATATATATATATATATATATATATATTTATATATACATACATATATTAAATGTTGCTTAATACTGTTTATTATAAACAGAGCATTTACTTAAATATTTGTATCTATAAAAGAATGTTAAACATAAAAATATATTCTTAAAATAATTGTAGGAATTTGTCCATTTCATAATGTGTGAGATATATATATATATATATATATATATATATATATATATATATATATATATATATATATATATATACAGTCAACAACAAAATTATTCATACAGCCATTCCATCAATTTTGAATATTTTTATCCATTTCTCAGAATCTAATGCTTGTATGATGCCAGGTCTTTTATATGTTAATAAGCAGAAAAAAAAGGAATATAAAAGTCAATTTTCAGAACAATAGGTTTAAATACAACAAATTTGACAAGCGAATTATGTAAAATAGGAAAAGACAACAAAATTATTTGTACAGTAGAAAATATTGTTTTAAATTGATTGATTCATGTAAGTATCAGTAATTTACATAATTATTTTATTGGTGAAGCCTTCTAGACTATTTACTCAGTAGAATATTTGTGATAATTCCAGTAAAGAACATCACGTTGTGTATAGAGTATCACCATTGTTATTCTTACATTAACAACACAATGGGGGGGAGACAAAGGAACTTAGGGTTGACTTGAGACAGAGAATTATTAACTTCCACAAGTTGGGAAATAGTTCCAGCACTAGTTAGCTATCCCTAAATCTGCAGTACAGTCTGTTATAAAGAAGTATAAACAGTTTGGCATGACAGAGAATTTGCCCAGGCATGGAAGAAAACCTAAATTGTTACCAAGAACTGCATGAAAAATGTGTTACGAGGATAATATAAACCCATGAATTGTTCTGAAAGACATTGCCAAAAGTTATGATATGATGGGTATCAGCGTAATTACTCGTACAATCCAAGGTTGTTGAAATAGAAATGGGTTGTATGGAAATCAACCACTATGAACTCCTCTTCACAAACCATGTCACATTGTTGCTTGCTTTAATTTTACCAAAATGTTCTTGGACAAAGAAAATTGTATTTGGGAACAAGTACTATGGAGAAATGAAACAAAAATTGAACTTTTCAGATATAATGGTGCATAAGTTGTGAAAAAAAAAACAAAAAACAAAACACATAATGAACCTATTATTCAAGTAATCAGGTTTTTTTTTATGTCTAAAACCATTAAGTATTTCCGATTTCTGGCTGAGTAACATATTAAGGTTATTATAAGTGGCTATAACTAATTTTTCCTTTATACATAGGAGGCAATACTTATAAACAACTTTATATCTGTGGCATTTTTTATTATCTTGCATTTTAATATAGGATCTACGTCTTGCCCTTTTTAATTTTCTACACATGATTAGATAAACTAGTCCTATGGCTGTATATCTTATGTATGAAACTATTTCTATGGCTATAATATCGTTTTGTAAAATGGTCCTTGGAATGAACCCACGTAAACTGTTTTATCAGTACAATTATTATTATTATTGTTATTATTATTAGGTTTGTTGCTATGTACCTCAACTTTATACTCAACACATTCATATTGGTATTTTCCTTTAAGGGGACAAGTGGCCTTATTAGTTGCATTTGGGAAAAATGATATGTTGTTTATTTTTTATCATTTTAGTGCTGTATTTATTAATCAAATTTGCAATGTTAGGCATACAACTATAACTCAGTTTAACAGTGTTTTTATTAAATATTTTATGTAAGTTATTCAAGGGCGGAAAGCCCTTCTTTAATAGTCTAGAGAATTCCTTCCCTAATTTAGTAGCTACAGCCATATTATATGGTAGCATGTACCATAGGATTTTCCATATATATATATATATATATATAAAAGTAGAAATCCTGGTAGGTAGTGACTGATGCTGACTGATGCTAGTTTCATGTTTTAGCACATTATTTACATTATTTGGACTATTGTCCTCATCTTTGTCACAATATTTATTACGTTTCGGCCGTTGTACACTCCGGCCTTCTTCAGGTGGTTGGAATGTCGAACTGAACCCTTTATTTCACTCACTGGGGTAGACTGTTCTAGATCCATGTGCCATGTTTGATGGATGTCAGTTATCAGTTATCTCCTGCTAATTTCCCTCTGTCTTAACCGAGTATTGAACTTACACTCTTTGGGTCCTATCACTGTAACCAACGCCTTTATCCACTGTGCCATGTGTCCTGGGTATGAATTTCTGGGTATTATAAAGGACACATATATATCATAACATATATATATCATTGGATATATATGTTATAACATATATGTTATGTTATAACACATATATATATATATATATATATATATATATATATATATATATATATATATATATATATATATATATTGCATTGAATAATTAGCATGAAAAAAAACAAACAAACAATAAAATAATTTTTATAATCCATAGCCCTAATAAATAGTTTAAATACTCTAAAAAAAGATAACCCTTTATGAAGTCGTCAAAAGACAAATGTTACGGCAGTTTTTTTATATACACAAAACCCTTTCAGAAAAAAAAAAAAAAAAAAAAATCTCTATAGACACGTAAACCAGACTAGGCGAAAACATCTTCCGTTTTAAATTTAGACACCCCAACCTTACCCTGACTTGACATCTATGAATGTAACTCTATACTGATACAAATTATTAACACCCAACACCCCTTCCTATTTAAACAATCGCTCTGGCCGTTACCATGGAAATTTTGATTTCAATAATGAATATGCTATTAAAACATGTAAATTTCAGAAATAAGTTATTCCAATTGTTTTATGTAAATAGTGTTAAATCATATTGTAAATAATCATTGGGGTTTCTTAAATTGTTGTTTTATCCCCCCCCCCCCACAGACTTTGAAATGTACATATGGGGACTAGTTAGGATTTCATAGAGAATTTGAGGTATTATGGTTGACGCGCAGTAAGAATAGGTAGGAGTGAATGTGTTGTTTTGGTGATAGGACTCTTGTTGGTAGGTTTGGGTCCATGTCTGTGACTAGCTAAGTTTAGAATTAAGACAGAAGAAGACCGTCCTTCCCCAATGATTTTTTTGGCCTTGTGCCAAATTTTGTACTAAATGTTTAATAAATAACTATTCCCCCAAAAAATTTCGCTTGAAGATGGAACAGAAATTTACATTTTTAATTCAATTTAATTCAAATAATTATATTGAAGTTTTGAACAATTTTTGTTTTGAAACTTGAGACCTCTTATGTAGTATGTTGAATCATATTTTTAAATAAATAATTATATATATATGTAGCACCTTGCATTATTAGAAATATTCCTAGAAATATGATTTAATTTTTCTTACTCAGTTTATTAAACAGGTTGTTAATTTTTTTTTTTTTTAAACGGAAAATAACTGAGTTGAAAATAATTCACTAAGAGTGTACTAGACGATCCTAAGGAAAGAAGAAGGAAAGAAAGGAAAAAGGAAGGAAGGAAGAAAAGAAAGAAAGAAAAATGTATGACGCATGACCCAATTGAGGGTGGAGATAGGAGTCAGAAAGAGAATTATAAGGAGAAAGCGTCTTGGCCGATTATAAAAAAAGTCATTTTTGATAAAGAATGTCGGTCAAAGCACCTAGCCTACTTTTTTGCATGGAAAGACACCTTATCAATTTGGATAAAGAGAAATTTTGGGAACAATGAAACAATTTTTAATCAGAGAAAAAGTGTCTTTGGGTTGGGGGAGTGACCGGTGGAACGATATACAGACCTGTTAAGAATTGGACACCCACGTTAATAAAGTAGAGACATTTCAATGTAGATAATTAAGATTTTCGACTATCAGGAAAAACAAAGAGGTAAAAAAGAGGGACAATTGCTTTTGGCTCACAGAGGGCGCCAAGAAGGCGGAAAAGATCCTTTCTAAAGTCAAGACTAATTAGCAGCGGGCTGTTTGACAAAGTCCAGGTGAGAGAAAGCCAAAGATTGTCATTTTGCGTACGTGCAAAAAGGGACAAAATTGGATTTTTTTTTTTTTTAAACAAGAACGATGTAACCACGCCCGCCAAACAGAGGGGAGAGGATGTTCGATCAATAACAATTGGTCGAATACGATCACGTGACCTGCGGAAGAAAAGGAAAGAAATGTTTGATCAATAACAATTGGTCGAATACGATCACGTGACCTGCGGAAGAAAAGGGAAAGAAAATGCTCGATCAGGAACGATTGGTTGAAAAGCGGTCACCTGACATACGAGAGACTAAGAGAGATGGATGTGCGCCGCCCCACCAAAGGTACTATGAGGAAGTAGGGGTGAAAACAATAGCAATAATGGAGAAGACAGAATTAATGCAGTTTTTGGAATTATCGAGAAAACCCTGACGCCGACGGACCCACCCCAGTTTGTTGCGGCGTCAATATAAGCAGGACCCCAGTCGACAGAAATCAGTTGAGTTGGAGTTGCAGTTGAGAGTTGGACCGCGCGGGCAGGGATAGAGCCTGAACGCGGCCATCAGGGCCCGATTCACTCGCCCCTTTGCGGGCAGAAGAATCCTCAGACAAGAAATCCTTCCAGCCCAAGTCGAAGACAGGAGAACTTCCAGCCCAAGTAGACGAAGAAGAAGATTGCCGGAAAGCCTGAGAAGAATTGGAGCTGCAGACAAGCCGAAAGTCGATGAGAAGTTAAAGTTCAGTTCCGGACGGCAGTGAGAAGAGACCACCTCAGACGACAGAGAGTTGCGGTTAAGTTGAAACAAGAAATCTTCCACCAAGTTGAAACAGGAAAACTACCAGCCCAAGCAGACGAAGAAGAAGAAATACAACTCAAGTCGAAGAGAGAAGAATCAACTGCGAATGATCGATAGAAATTAGCCCCAGTGTCGAACTGAACCACACTCCGACATACATACATGATTCTAGAAAGTAGGTAATTCGACATTTTCTATTGTGTGATAGAAGCTTGGTGCCATAGTCCACAGAGCGGGTCGGGAAATGAGAACAATTTTGTTTTTATGTAACGGACTTTAAGATATAAAAAGGTTGTTACCCTTTTTATCAGCAATTTTGTTTGGTGTCGTGAGTTTTTATTTTATTTGTGTTTTGCCACCCCCGTCGGACTCAACTTGTATCGGCCCCGATCCCTGCTGGTCCCGTCTGTCTAAGATCTAAACACAGCGTGGGTAGACAGACCGGAGATCGGTATAGTTGCTTTAGTGACCAGGTATTGGAAGCGAGTCGGGAAAGGCGAGGCTGGTGATCATCTGACCAAAGGGTTGGAGCGGCACGCTTGGACCCAGGAGGAGCGACCAGGAGGAGCGACGTCACCGTTGGCGCCGTAACCAAAGGACCCGACACTGGGCCAGGTGTGTAACCGTCACATATATATATATATATATATATATATATATATTTCATAACATATTATGAGATGTATATACAATAAGAAAAATATATGAACAGTTTATGAAACGAGATATGCAAAAATCACCATAAGGAAGTGAAAATTGGTAAAAATATTTTTAAATAAAAAATCTAAATTTGAGTTTAGACTTACTGAATTATTGACTAGCGTGGCATAAAAATAAATGGCATAAAACTCAAGCAAAGTCTGGAATTGGACAAGAAAATATGATTTATATTGTATGAATTGAATGTATATTTTGGAACGAATGATAAATCTGTTCCTCCCAAAAGGATACAAGGATGTTGAGTTGATCTCTCACCTGTCAAACAAACATATTGTTGACCATTATAATACCATCCTGCAGGCAAGGAATCCAATCTATGTTTATCCTACAAGAAAAACATCAGTTATTATTACATAGATTTTCTATACTTATATCCTCATCATTGCTATTTATTTTAATCCAACATTACATCTGATCCATTTTACAATCTTTCTGAGATATATGTGGCATTGCCTACATTTCTAAAGTGAAATCATCACATTATTCCTCAGATAATGGGAATTAATATTTTCATTTTATTATTGTATTTTCTATGAATATTTCATTTGTCAGAATTTCTTTTTTGGACATTATTTTCTCTGGCTTTTCCAATAGCCTTAATTTGTCTTCTTTTCTCAGATGAAGGAAGCCTTGTCAATTATTATTCATTTTTGACTAGTATTTCTTTCATCGTATTTCTCTTGCTTTTTCACCAAGTAGTAATAGTCTTAAGTTGTCTGAATTTCTTAGATGAAGCCTTGGCAATTATTCATTTTTCACTAGTATTTCTTTCATCTTATTTCTCTTGCTTTTCCACCAAGTAGTAATAGTCTTAAGTTGTCTGAATTTCTTAGATGAAGCCTTGGCAATTATTATTCATTTTTGACTAGTATTTCTTTCATCTTATTTCTCTTACTTTTCCACCAAGTAGTAATAGTCTTAAGTTGTGTGTGTGTGTGTGTGCATACAATTTTCTTTCGGACTCTTTAAATAAAAGAAATATTGAAATAATCACCTGAACTTTCTTTATTATCTGTGCTGAAAGATCTTTTCTGTTTAACAGGGATTTCTTTTCTGGAATCTAAAAACAGATACATTATAAAATAAAGAAAACAAAAGCAAACATGTTGATATGATATTATATTGATATGGTGTGAGCTGCAAAGAATCTTTTGAAACAATGGAAGTACTTATAAAATCAAAAAGCAAAGCAATATCAATTATTAACATGCCCACAATGTACTGGCAATATTCAAAACTAAAGAATATTTCTACTTTCAGCAGCATTTATACTGTTTACAATAGCACTAACACATCATTTATTATAGTTGTATAACAAAATATTCTTGAAAAGGAGCTCATAGTTTGATGGAAAACCCTTGGTACCAATAAATATATGGATGATTTTTACACTCATAAATTCCAGAAAAGAAACATCTGTACACATACAAGAAAAATATTTCAAAAACGGTCCTTGTCAAATTAGTTCATTAAAGAGGTTTTTCTGTCTCTATATATATATATATCCTGGCTTGAGGCAATTGGATGTCTAGCCATAATGATGAACTGTGAAACAATGAAACAGTCTATCTGTGGATGATTTTATATATACATATATATATATATATATATATATATATATATATATATATATATATATATATCCAGTCATATAGATATGTTTGCAATACAGACATCTTGTGCCTACTTATTTTTATACTGAATCTTTCCATTTGTCTTATCAGTTTCTTGATGCTGATATGAAATTTATCAAGGAAAGCGCTTTAGTTTACAATGAGTTTGTCTTTTCTAATTTGCCCCTAAAGATGATCTTGGAAAAAATCGAAAGTACTTGGGTAAATAAAAACTATGGAGCCTTCCTTGATGAATTTCATTTCAGCTTCTCTCGTTCATACACATGCATAGTTGCATCAATATAAATGAACCTAGTCTGATGAAGTCCTAAGGGATGAAACACATCACACAAAAACTTTTCAACTTTGTCATACATCTTACCTTTTCTTGATTTATAAAAATTTATATCATTATCCCCCACATATATATATATATATATATATATAAATAAGTGTTGTTTGGGGACCTTGTGTCACGTAGTGCACCAGGTCTCTGTATTAGCCCTTCAAAAAATATGGTTGGTTCTACACAAAGCCTTCACCACCATAATTAGATCATATGTGCAGATGTCTGGCTGTTCGGTTCATCGGAGCTGATCTGCTTGACCTTCATACATCTAATACGATGGGAGAGTTAAATATATATATATATATATATATATATATATATAAATATATGTGTATGTATGTATGTATATATACACACACGCACATATATATAAGTGTATATATCATATGATAGTATATAGTTTATGCCTAATTTTCATTTTAATAAAAAAATATCTGCACACACACACACGCATATATATATATATATATATATATATATATATATATATATATATATATATATATGGAGAGAGAGAGAGAGAGAGAATTATACCATAAAGTTATTTACATATGGATTGGTACTAAGACCACATTGATACTATGATTGATACTAAGACCAGAGTAGCAATGTGTGCTGCTTAGGATCAAAGTGTTGTAACTGTCTGCCTATATTCTTTCTTCTTCTTCAAGATATGGGGAATGTCTCGTACCAGTGATTCGAACCAAGCAGTAGTACTTGCCTCCTTGTACTAAAGGAGGAAGGGTTGGTGGATACCAATGCCAGTATGACAGTGGTGATGAGGACTGGGTCATTCTTGCACCTAGCTCATGTGTGCACATATGGACACGCCCCATTAAAAATGATTTTTTGATACCGTGCCCCTGTGACTAAATGCATCAACACTGAATATAATATTTATGAAAGTATTATACATAAATATTAATACACATTGTATATTATATGTATACATATATTATTTTACATTATTTTAGGCAAACTAGACCAAACACTTTCTACTTGTTTTCTACAAATTTTCTTTTTGTTAAATCATTTTACTCCACACAAGGCAATAAAGCCACTAAGATATAAGGGAATACTGAGTGTGAAAGAATATGTGAAAAAAAAATACATTATTATGGAAAGAGAAAAATAAAAGAACAATAATTAAAAAGACAGAAGATAACGATTGACATTGCATTTAAAATTTTTAAGATCAAAGTTTACTGGGAAACAAGAATATATATATATATATATATATATATATATATATATATATATATATATATATATAAAGTAAATATTGAATCAACACTCAGAGGCAACAGGCTGTTTCATGCTAGAAACACAATTGTTCTATGGCAGGACAATTGCGTCCAGCATAAAACAGCCTGTTGCCTCTGAGTGTTGACTTCAATGTTTACTTTTATATTTATATTTACATATGCTCTATCTCTGATATTGAGCACTTTATCCCATAAATATAGCACATCTTAAAACTATATTTCTTCATATATATATATATATATATGTTACATACAAGCGTTGCGATGGATAAATTGTCGTCTAAATTACACAAAAATGAAGATAATGCTGACATCTCATTTTAACAGATATATTTAACAAAATTACCTAAAAATATCTTGAAATGCTATATAGTTAATTTATTCAATAAAATCGCCATTGGCTTCAACCACGGTCTCCAGACAACTATAGAATCTACTGGAATTCCTCTGGACAGTCTCCTGATTTAAGTTGGTAAATGCTGCCATAATCCTGGCTTTCAGTTCATATTTTGTGTTATGAGGAATTTTGTTGGTCTCTCACTCAACTGCACCCCACTCATAATAATCAAGGGGTTGCAGTCTAGGGAGATAGGTGGCCACATGTAATGGATGATGTGGTCGCAGAAATTGTCGGATGGCCATGACTGAGTTCTCCTGCTTGTGTGCAGAGACTTGTTGCCAGATATAGGGTCTTCCAACAGCCACCCTCTTGCGCCAGGGTAGCACTACCTCCTCAAGGTACTTGATGTAGGCCTCTGGGTCTGAGGCCCTGTGCGAAGATCAAGTGATACATAAGATCACCATCACCACTGATCACTCCAAACGCCATTATGTTGACTGGATATATCATCCAAATCTTTCTGAATCCTATTCACAGTCCTCAGATTGACACCCAAACACTCTGAAATTTTCATATTGGAGCTTTCGGCATGAATGCCGAATCTAAATTTCTGGTGGAGTGAATTGTGTCATGGTGCTCTTATTCTCACAGATGCTGCCAAACTGGCCCTACTAAACTGGGTAGTTGACAAAATCGAAAAAACAAACAAAGCACATGGACAAAATTAAAAATATAAAATGGCGACAATTTACCCCTCGCACCCTGTATAGCAGAAGCACTGGACAAGGCATGACAATAATATCCAATGCCAAAAAGAAATAAAGACATTTATTTTTTTGGCCAGGTTAGTATAGAGAAGAAGAAACTTGTATAAGCTAAGGCACATTTAAATCTGAATGCCTTCAAGTGATGATGATTAAAAAATATATAAAAAAAAAATATGTTGATATTTGTGTTACGTTTTTAAAACATGGCCTCAGCCAAGTTTTTAAATCTCCTTTGTCCAAATGGCAGCCGGAGAAGATAACAAAATATCTTGCACTAAGTTTTTCCTTTTGAGGAGATGGCTTTGGCGGTGTTGGTACTAGAGTTGCAATTTCAACGTCCAGTTGGTTGGAAAGGGTGATATAGTGAAACATGGACATTTGCTTGTCCCCTGAAATAAATAAATAAAACTCATCAAACAAATATAGATAGATATTCACAAATAAAAACATATTTATAAACACAAGCTTAGGAGCCTAATAGATAAGGATTAGGGGTAACATTTATTTTTCCGCAGACGCCATGACCTCTCCTTATTAAGATCATCACATTTATTAATTTTTCACTTTTTGGCACTTTAAATAATTTTCCAACCTCTATTGCTATTAAAACTCCCTCCATATTGATTTGGTTGAATGATTTTGTTTCGAAGCATATCAACCTCTATGGATTATTTAATGCTGAAATCCAAATAATTTGAATGCATCTGTATGCCTTCAACTACATATAAAATGTATTGTTGGTTATTTTACTATGAATATGTATAGTTGATCCTTCTTATATAAAAATGTATTGATGGTATTTTTACTATAAAAATGTATTTTTATACTTTCATAGTGTTCTACTCTTATCTGGGGGTTCACTATTTGCTCATAGCTGGGACCCTAACAGTTGCAACCCTGCTGGGTCAAGATGGAACTGAGAGCAACAGCAATTAAGAAGTGGTTCCATGCTCTTTAAAATCTCCAGTCTCCCAATTAGAGGACTTTGCTGCCAGATGTAGTTTATCATCATACCCAGGACTAATTTCATATTGAGAAAAATTCTGCCACACCAAATATTAAAACTACCTCTTGTATGAGGCACCATAGAATTAATAAGTATTCACAAATTAAGACAAATATCTATTAAAGATATTTACAAGGCTGAAAATATACATAATGCAATTGTAAAATTACAAGCAAGGCAATAAAGCCACTAAGACACAAGGAGTTACTGGGTGTGGATGAGTAGAAAAAGAAACATTAATAATGAGCAGGAAGAGGAAAGAGTAATCAGGAGGACAGTAGATAGCAATTGATATTGCATTTTAATATTTATAGATTAAATTTGGTTGGAAGTCATGGAGCTAGAAGGGAGTTCCACAAGCAAGGGAGTAAAGCCACTAAGACACAAGGTGTTACAGGGTGTGGAAGAATTAGGAACAGAAACATTAATAATGAATGGGAAGTGCAAAGAATAATCAGGATTTATTTTGTTGCATGCTGTGGATATTTTTATTATTTTTAATTTAACTTATTTTATACAGTTTTAATATTATTGTTTTATTTTGTTTTATTTATAATTTTCATTATTATTATTATTTTATTTTTATTTATTTATAATAAAAATAATAATGATAATAATAATAATATCCCTACAAAGAATACCATTTAAATTCTTGTGTGAAAATGTGTATTTCTTAGTAATTACAGTGTACATGTACTCTACATACTACTGGTAGTAGATACCAAATGTAAATACAGAATGTTATTTCTTTTATAATTTTAATTGGTTGATATGTTTAAATATTTTACTGTACAATTTACAAATTAAAAAATCATTCAAAAGCACAAGAGAACATTGCATGTAGTCGACGATATTAAGAGCAATCATTTGTGTTCCACTGGATGCTTGTGTGAATCTGCCAATAATGGCTTCTGCATCCAATTCATCTAACAATTCCTTTTCAATGGACAGAAACATGTATGATTTAAAAGTTATTTGGAATTGGACTATAAATTGCCAAGAGGAGTTGCAGTGTGTGATTAAAAAATGGAGAAAATTGACGGATGGTGCAGAAGTTGATACCCGATAAGAAAGGTTGAATTTGTTATTTATTTTGTCTTTAATTTTAAGTGATTGGTTAATATTTTAAATAATTTTCTGCACAATTTACGAATTAAAAAAGTTCAGCGTTCAAAAGCACAAGAGAACAATTGCATGCAGTCAACTATATTAAGAGCAATCGTGCTCCATCTGATGCTTTTGTGAATAAAAATAATAATTGCTCTTTGCATCCAATCCATCTAACAAAATATTTTTGATAGATAGCAATATGGATGATTCCAAATTCTCTTCAGGCAGCAAATTTCTTAACCTGGTCTTTAAGATCTTTCAAAATGTCCTCTCACATTGGAATTTGAGGAACTGATTGTGTGATTTTTTTATTACTGAAACAGTTGTTAATGTTTCTTTTTTTATTACATTTTTATTTGATATAGTTGGGGGAGGGTCACTACATCAGGGGTCAACTTATCATCAGGCAAGTTGACACCCTGGCAAGTTTGCCACTGTGTACAACTGCTAGAAGGAAGAATATATAAATGTAAGATTTTTTATAGTGTATATAGATGTATACTGGCTTACCTGAGAATAACACCTGGCCACGGACATTATAGACATTTTTATGAAAAGGAAAACCACTTAAAGTGCCTTTTAATCCTGAAAACAAGGAAAATGGTAATAACATTTTGAACGGATTACAAAAGTCGCAAAGACATTTAAAATATTTTTCCCCCCACTAAACTCAGAATGCCACTCGCTCTTTTGTTACAGTTATTTACTAAGCAGAGCTTAGTCTGGCACAAGGCAAAATGTGTGGAGCACCCAATGCAGTTTGAAATCAATAAACAAAAAAGCCTACCATGCTTACCATTACATCATAGACTGAGAAAACACTTAGCTTTAGTCTGGCATAAGGCTACATGTGTGAAGTACCCAAAGAAGATTGATACCACTACATAAGTAATGGTCTACTATACTAGTTTTCTTATTGTATTATAGAAAAAGTGAACTGTATTTACTATAATTTAGTCTGGCACAAGGCTGTATATATGGGAACCCAATGTGGAGTGAAGCTGTATTAGCATGTTAACCATTAATCTATATGTAGTTTTGTTTTGATATCATTTGTCATGAGAACATTCTGCATACAAAGAATATTGTATTTTGTTTCCAAATATAGGGAAAAATATTATTGCGCTTGCCAATAAGAAAAATAGTACAAAATAAGAAAGATTTGATTGATCTGTTTTTTACAGTTTATCAAACTTCTGCAGGTTATTTAAAGCCAGAAAATATTTTTAGATTATAATTGTTTTTTTTTGGGGGGGGGGATTATAATGATTTAGTTACATGAGTCTTACTAATTAACCCATAGCTGGGGAGAGAAGAAGTGAATTCATACTTTTCCCAAGGGCATTTGCTCATAATTGAATATAAGAAACCCAACTGGAATTGGCTCTCCGATTAACAATTCCAAGTCATTATGCATTATCACCCACACATCCAAGCTTACAGCAACTGGTATTCTTCAGCGGTCACCCACATAGGTACTGAACAGGCTTGACATTGCTTAACTTTGGTGATCATACAGGAACTAGTGTTTCAACATGATATGGCCGTAAACCAAAGTAAGAAAGAATAATTTTCATAAGACTATAAAAAGTCAGTGGCTTTTTCAGCCAGCTGGCTGTAGATGTTGCTACATGACAAAGCAAGCTCCTGTGGTAGAGGTTAAAAATTCGACTCTTTTATCATCAATTTCTGCAATTTGTTTATATAATAAAATTGTCTTTGGTTAGCATAAGCATCAATGAGTGTAACTATAGATATATGCATAAGCGAGCAGCTATCAGTGTGGAAAGTAATGGAGCCAGCATGCCAAGTTCAAATTCCAGCTGAGCACTTTGTTTTTGCACAAATACCCTCTATCTCTTCTGCATTAAACAGCAGGGAGATGTACAACTCTGAATTCAAAATCACTTGGGTAGCAACTATGCACTGTAAAAAAAGCCTACATAGTATAGAAACCACAGCAACCTCACCTGGTGTAGTGAGGCTGTGGCCCTATACTCCACAGAGGGTGGGGGGAGTCTAGTGTCACTGATGAGGAGGCAGTAAGTGGATTGTTATCAGCACAGAAAGTTCAATCAGCAAACCGATTAAAAACTTTGCCTCATCTGTTACTTTCACTTTTGCATTAATGGACTCAGGAAAGATATGCATACCTTTCCTCTTCTCCCCAGCTATAGGTTAAATAGCAGTGTAGACTGCTTTGAATAGCAAGAAAAATAAAGTGCCAAAAAATAATTTACCATAAAACAGGCATGATTATGTGCTAGAAATTGTGCCTTTAACGTGGGAAAATAAAGTCAATAAATAAAATAATAATGATAAAAAAAAGAAATACATTTTCCCATGATGCTAGAAATGAAGGAACCAGAAATTTTATTACCCCACCTGGCTTTGCCGAACACCCATTAGTTGATGCTGTTTAAGTTCTATAAATAGACAAACATTTCCTTTCTCCCTCTTGCTGCAAGATATAGCAGATTGTGGCAAGATGTCCCTGCTGGAGCATGCTTGTTTCCCTGATCCACTGACAATGGAACTCTCTCACCACTTTCCAATCCATCATGTTCACACATGTCTTTCAAAAACCTCCATAAATCAGCCTTTTCTTTGGTCGCTCCAACTCAACACAAGGCTGATTTGAGCTTGACCATTCTAGCCATGCCAATCCCCCTATGATGAAGTAAGTACAAACATTTCTTTGGTCATTCCAAATCTGTGCAAGACTGACTTGAACTCAACCATTATAACAATGCTTATACTTACTTACCCTATTACTAATATTTTTTCCAATATAATTTCCTCCCCCCGCCCACTGCCAAAAAAATTTTGATTAATGCTGTTTATTTTACAATTAGCAGTAGAGCCCGGCATTGCCCGGGGATATAACAGATATATAGATCAAGTATCGACCATCATAAAGACTGAAAAATAAAATTGACAAAGATTATTGTTTAAGGTTGATGGACACGCATGTCTTAATGAGTTTTTTTTTTTTTATGAATTGGTCAAACCCAAACTCAAGCAAAAACATTGTTTTCAATCATTATGAGTCTACCGATTGAATAGAATTTTATTATAAACAATTGTCTTGTAAATGGAATTTTTAAAGCGTTGTGAATGTAAAAATAAAGAAAAAAGTGTGCAAGACAATAAGAATCACTACATGCCAAAAAAAAGTGAAGTTTTGTTGAAATCGGTTGAAAAATGTAGGTAGCCTTTCTGTAATCTTTTAGTTTTACAATTTGTGATTTTTACTTATTGAATACAGTAAAAAAAATTGCATATTTTGCTTGTGGTGATTCATAATTAGAATTTTGATTTGAATATATTTTTCACTCGTTGTTTCTAATACAAAAAATATTAACTTTATTTGGGTTTATTAATTATGATCTAACAAATCTTATTCATTTAGTAGCCTTTTCTAATAATAATCTTTTTACAATTTATGATTTTTACTTATTGAATACAGTAAAAAAATTGGACACCATGTGTATTTAAAGTAGTTTCCCGTTCCGATTATTATTTTTAGTTAGGACTTGTGTATGTTTAGATTTCATTATCTTTCCCTAAAGATAAAGAATTTATCCGATGTTTGTATTCGTACAATCAGTAGAGATCGTTAGATTATTGTTTAAGGTTGACGGACACGCATGTCTTAATTAGTTTTTTTTTTTTTTTTTACGAATTGGTCAAACCCAAACTCAAACAAAAACATTGTTTTCAATCGTTATGAGTCTACTGATTGAATAGAATTTTATTATAAATAATTGTCTTATAAATGGAATTTTTAAAGCATTCTGAATGTTAAAAATAAAGAAAAAAGTGTGCAAGAGAATAAGAAACACTACCTGCCAAAAAAAAAAAGAAAAAAAAGTGAAGTTTTGTTTTATCGGCTGAAAAATATAGGAAATCCGCTCCCATATTTAAAGTAACCCACACACACAAACAACCCGATGTGAGTTGTCCCCTTTCCATTTTCACGATGTCTCTTAATTGTGTTTTCAAATTGATTTTGTGCAAAAACAATTATATTTTTCCCATTTTTGGCACTGTTAGAACCACCACAAGATAATTTTATGTAGTCCTGTGAAGTTTTGTTGAAATCGGTTGAAAAATGTAGGAAATCCGATCCAATATATAAACGTTACAGACACACACACACACACAATCTGTGTTTTATAATAAGTAAGATTGTAAAATGTAAAAATAAACCCTGAGTTTTCTGATCAAATAGCAAGAACAATAGAATGCAAAAGAAAAATAATTTTGAAAACAGCTCTAGCGGCTTGGATTGAGGAATTGGAAAACCGAGTTTGAATTCCAGTCAAATCCATTCTATTCACTTATGTGCTAATACCCTTGGGAAAAGTATGAATCCTCTTCTTCTTCACCCTCCCCCAGCTTTGGGTAAATAGCAGGACAGATTAGATTCTACAGCCTTGGATGGCATTTGGTCTACCACAGAAAGAAATGACAACCTACTGTGGGGAAAAATCTGCCTCGTCAGTCATGTATCGAAAGATACATAATTACCTAAGCTTGTATCACACATGGCACATTACTGACTGACTTAATTGGCTAGTAAATTTTTTTTTTTAACGTAGAAATGGCTAGATGTAACTGTAAGTTCTATGCTAACAGTTTCTTTTCTCGCACCTCTCTTCTGTGGAACTCTCTTCTGGTTTTTTTACTTCCCTGTCACCTACAATCTTCAGAAACTTAAATGCAATGTCAATTGTCATTCTTTTTTCTTCCTGAATCCTCTTCATTTATTGTCCTTTCTCTTCGTCTTCTCAGAATTCTCTTTCACTCTCATTAAAACCTTGCATCTTAGTGGCATTATTGCCTTGCTTGGGGCGAAATGCTAAAAGAAAAATGTATTTTTAACATGAGTGGCACATTAGTTTCCAAATAATAAAAGAAATGAAATCTCCCTCCTCCTTGGTACCATCAGATTTCCCAGGGCCACAGCCTCATCACAGTAGGCGGCTGCGGTTTCTGTGTAAGTAGGTTTTGATGCGTTGGAGCTGTCAGCCCTCTGCCCACAAATTGCCAACCAAGGTAAGGGAGCCCAGGTTAAACTACTATTTAACCCATAGTTGTGGGAGAAGGGGTGGATTCATAACTTTTCCAAGGCTGTCTGTGCAAAGGAAACAATGAACTTGACTGTAATTTGAACCTGGCATGCTGATTCGATTTCCCTTGCTGATAAATATTTTGCTATGAACACACCCTGAAAATGAAATCCTGAAGTCTTGATGGAAATCTACTTAGTCCAGATTTTTTTCCAACATAATATTTAATTTTTTCCCCAACTATTTTGCAATTTATATATTTTACTTGAGAGTAGCAAACTATGGACAAACCCTGAGTTTTGCAGTAAAACAAAAAAAAATGTAAAAAAAAAAAATTTTAAAAATCATATGAAAACAGGTGTCTATGTGCTTGAAATTTCACCTCAGTGTAACATTTAAATATTAAAAAAACAACAGAAAAAACTAGCATTTGAACAATGGAATATTTGGGGGTATATTAAATACTAATCTAATATGTCTTTTGTATGCATTTTTTTAATCATTTTATACCAAACAAGGCAAAAAAGCCACTAAGACACAAAGAAAAACACAAGAGAATATGAGGAAAAAACAAAAAAACAATCAATATTAAACTGAGAAGACAATAAAAGAACAAGAATTAAGAAGACAGAAGATAATGATTGATATTGCATTTAAATTTTGAAGATCAAAGGCAATAAAGCCATTAGGATGCAAGGGGTTACTGAGTGTTAGAGAATATGACTATTAAGGAGAGAAGAAAGATATTGATATTGCATTTAAATTTTTGAGGGTGGTTTGAAATAAAGCCACTAGGATGCAAGGGGTTTGAGTGTTAGAGAATATGAAAAAACTACTATTAAGGAGAAAATTCAAGAATTAAGAAACAGAAGATAACGATTGACATTGCATTTAAATTTTTGAGGGTCAAAAGGCAATAAAGCCACTAGGGATGAAGGGGTTACTGAGTGTTAGAGAATATGAGAAAAACTATATTAAGGAGAGAAGACAATAAAAGAAAAGAATTAAGAAGACAGAAGATAACGATTGACAGATTATTTAAATTTTTTGAGGGTCAAAAATAAAGCCAAAGGATGCAAAATTACTGAGTTGTATCAATGAGAAAAACATTTATTACAATAAAATTTGGGAATAAGAACAGAAGATTGATAAATTTAAATTTTTGAAGATCAAAATTGACTGAGAACCAGAATGGAGTTCCAAATAAGAAGAAACCTAGAAAAATGGAAATGGTTGCATCAGTGACTGAAAAACTGTAAAATGATGCCAGATCAAAATCAATAAAATCTGCAGATTCTTCTTTCCAAATAATTAACATGAAAGAATTTAAAGTGACTGAAGCCAAGATGCCAGATCAGGATCAATAAAATTGCAGATTCTTTTTTGTATTTTTGAAGAATCTCTAAATTTTGCAGAAACACTAGACTGGATATTCAACAATATAAAAGTTTGGATGAATGTTTTTTAACATTATTGTTGAACCAATTTCAAGCAATAGATCAAATGAAATCTACTTGGTAGATTTGTTTAATTTTTTTTACACAGGTGTGTTTTAAAAATTTTGCTATAGTTATTATTGCAGCTATAAAACATTCCTTTCTTACCTTTAATTTCAATTTCAGAGTGTGTTTCTCCAATGGTTGAGAAAATTCCAACTTGACATCCTCGATAGGAAGAGGTGACCTTGATGGCTTGATATTTCTCCTACAAAGGAAAGAAAAATTAAGCAGGTTAATCAATTACTTTTATGTATTAAACATTTCCATTAATGTGACTTAATATATTTTTTTTTATTACAACTTGCCTAAATGCAACCTTCTTCATCTGACCACTTTTTACAGAATTTATGATATAATTATTTGAAAATGTTAATTATCACAAAGATTAATTATTGTTATTAGATATTATTAAAATATCATTACTTACATCTGGTTACAGCCAACAATGCAGACAGGTTAAGGATTCTTTCCTGTTTATTCCTTTGATTTTCTTAAGAAAATCTAATGAAATAACTCTGTAATTAGCAGTTAATACACCTAGAGTTATCTCTCTTGGAAACTTTATTTTTGTAAATTTGAATGATTTGTCTGTTTAATGGCATATCAACTCCTTGTGCCAAAATTTAATTTTTTTGTGAACTTGAAAGTAATAAAAATATGATATATGTTATTCTCCTTTCACAGTTGAATCCATGGTAGATGATACTCAGCTTTTGTCCATATATATGTTTGTGTGGACATAATTACTAGAGGCAGTGATATGTGTGGTTTATGTTGTAGATGTGCTGAAGTTATATTTTGGAATACAATTCTTTATAAAATTGTAGGATTTTATATGGATTAATGTCATGAGAGAGTTCTTTGGGTGAATTTGTTACAATTTATTAGTATTTGTGTATTTTTGGCCATCTTTTTAACAGAAATATGTATTTCTGGTATTTTTACTATAAAAATATACTTTTATAATTTCATAATGTTTTGTTTTGTTTCTGTTTAGTATTCACTATCTGTCCAAAACTGGGCCCCTAACAGATGCTACCACCCTGAATCAGGATGAACCAGGTAACAACAGCTATTAAAACCGCCAAGTTCCTGAGCAGAAGCATTGCTGCTGGATGTAGTTTATCGTCATAACCAGGAGTATTTTTCTAAATTTATACTTAATTTAAATTAGGGAACCAGTATCGTGGTTGAAAAGGGATTTGCATTATTCTGCTATTTCATTGCACAGACAATGACACTGAACCAAGAAAGAATTTTTTGAGGATATGTCACTATGTTATGGTAACAAAAGCGCAAATGGATGATTGTAATATAGCTATTGGATACTTAAGTTCAATTTGAATAAATTTGCTTCCTCTTAACAAATCTAAATTGAAAATGTTAATTAACAATATCAACCAGATTATATAACCAGTGAGAAGAAGAGTTGAATACTTGAAGTTTCTAAACCTTTTATATTTATAAAAAAAAAAAATGACAGACTTTATTTTAATTGATTTACTCATTCATATCAATGCATTAAGATCATTATGAATGCAATTTTGTAAGAACATTATTTAAGATTTTTAAGCATTTTCAAAGCTTTATTTTTTTCATAGGTAATATATTTTCATAGTAAAAATCATTTCAATTTTTTAGTAAAAAATCATAGGCCAATGCATTTTCATAGTAAAAATCATTTCCAATGCATTTTCATAGTAAAAATCATTGGCCAATGCATTTTCATAGTAAAAATCATTTCCAATGAATTTTCATAGTAAAAATCATTGGCCAATGCATTTTCATAATAAAAATCATTTTCAATGCATTTTCATAGTAAAAATCAGAAAAAATGCATTTTCATAAAAAAATTTGGCCAATGCATTTTTCATAGTAAAAAATCATTTCCAATGCATTTTCATAATAAAAATCATTTCAATGAATTTTCATAGTAAAAATCATTTCCAATGCATTTTCATAATAAAAATCATTTTCAATGCATTTTCATAGTAAAAAATCATTTCCAATGCATTTTCATAGTAAAAATCATTTCCAATGCATTTTCATAGTAAAAATCATTTCAATGCATTTTTATAGTAAAAATCATTTCAATGCATTTTCATAGTAAAAAATTTTCAATGGATTTTCATAGTAAAAAAAATCATTGGCCAATGCATTTTCATAGTAAAAAATCATTTCAATGCATTTTCATAGTCAAAAAACATTTCAATGCATTTTCATAGTAAAAATCCTTTCAATGCATTTTTCACAAAAAAAACAATTCAATGAAATTTTCATAATAAAAATCATTTTTCAATGCATTTTCATAGTAAAATCATTTCAATACATTTTCATAGTAAAAATCAAAATGCATTTTCATAGTAAAAATCTTTTTCAATGCATTTTCATAGTAAAAAACATTTCCAATGCATTTTCATAGTAAAATCATTTCAATGCATTTTCATAGTAAAAAATATATAATCTAACAAATTATTTTCAATGCATTTTCATAGTAAAAAACATTTCCAATGCAACAACAATATAAAAAAAAAATCATTTCCAATGCATTTTTTTCATACAAAAAAAACATTTCAATGCATTTTCATAATAAAAATCATTTTCAATGCATTTTCACAGTATAAATCATTTGCCAATGCATTTTCATAATAAAAATCATTTCAATGCATTTTCATAATAAAAATCATTGGCCAATGCATTTTCATAGTAAAAAATCATTTCAATGCATTTTCATAGTAAAAATCATTTCCAATGCATTTTCATAGTAAAAATCATTTCCAATGCATTTTCATAGTAAAAATCCTTTCAATGCATTTTCATAGTAAAAATCATTTCCAATACATTTTCATAGTAAAAATCATTGGCCAATGCATTTTCATAGTAAAAATCATTTCCAATGCATTTTCATAGTAAAAATCATTGGCCAATGCATTTTCATAGTAAAAAATCATGTCCAATAGTAAAAAAATTTCATTTTAGTAAAAATCATTGGCCAATGCATTTTCATAGTAAAAAATCATGTCCAATGCATTTTCATAGTAAAAAAACATTTCCAATGCATTTTCATAAAAAAAAACATTTCCAATGCAAGTAAAAACTTATTTCAATGCGTTTTCATTGAAAAAATCATTGGCCAATGCATTTTCATAATAAAAATCATTGGCCAATGCATTTTCATAGTAAAAATCATTGGCCAATGCATTTTCATAATAAAAATCATTGGCCAATGCATTTCTGTATATGCTTTTATTATATTGGCTGTGAAAGTGTTGACATATTCTTTTCATAAATTTTTACCTGTCATATCATTAGTTGCATAAACAGTAAACACACATGCTTATATCTATATATCTATATCTATGTATCGCTGACAAAACAAACCTGGTCGCTCGTCTTGAAATGGACCTCCAATCGGTTGTTAATTGGGGCAAGAATTGGCTGGTCAACTTTAACACCTCAAAACTAAACTACTCTCTATTAATCACCATAGAGATCCTTCCCTGCCCTCCATTAGAATGTCTGATAGTCAACTTCTTGAGAGCCATTCTCTGCGTCTGCTCGGTCTCACATTGACTGCTGACCTGAGATGGAACAAATACACTGAGTCCATTGCTTCGTCCACCGTGAGGAAAGTTGGCTCTCTGTGCCACGCCAGGAAATTTTTCTCCCCGGAACTGATACTTCAAATATACAAATCAATCATTTGCCCTTGCATGGACTATTGCTGCCATATATGGTCTGGTGCACCTTCTGTTTACCTCGAAGTTCTTGACAAGATCCAGAGACGGATATGTAATATAGTTGGCCCTGATCTGGCATCTCATCTACAGTTGCTCTCTCATAGATGCACCATCGCCTCTCTATGTCTTTTTTATAAGTACTTTCATGATAATTGCTCCGATGAGCTGCATTCGCTGGTTCCCAGACTTCATGAATTCAAGCACCTTACGAGGCTGGCATTCCGCTCTTATCCTTTCACTGTCGAAACTTTTAAATGTAGCCGTCTCTTCTACTCCAATAGCTTCATACCTCGTACCTCTTGCCTGTGGAACACCCTTCTCTATTACTGTTTCCCTGAGAGCTATAATCTCCAACTAATCAAATGTCAATCAACATCTCTAGTTACCTTGATCTATCCACTATCCCTCTCGTCATCCTTTCTTCTATCACTCCTATCTGCTCTTGCTCCAAATCTTCTGCAACCCCCTGCATCCTAGTGGCTTAACACCTTGCTCGGGGCGTAATGAAAAAAAAAATCTATGTGTGTGTGTGTGTGTGTGTGTGTGTGTCTATATATTTTATTACTGAAATGATATTTTTAGTGGATACTCATATTTGAGTAGACGCTCTGATTATTTATTAAACAGTATATTTTTTTAAATCATTTTATTTCATAAAATAATGAGAAAGATGTCATGTTTTTATTTACCAATTTGGGTAGAGAAGATTTCTGGCTCGGCACAGGGCTGGACTATCAAAAGCAGTGTCAGACAGGATCAAATCAAAGTCGTAACTGTTTTCAAAGTGAAAATAAAAAAAAAACATACCTGATAGAATTCAAATTTAATTATTTACTCACAAACTTTTCTTTTTACTTTGGCTGCCTACAATTACAAAAAAAAAACAGCTAACGAAAAGCTGTTGCATTTAATAACAGATTCGTTTGTTTAGTGGCATATCAACTCCTTATGGGTCATTTAATGCTAAAATTTATTTTTCTTTTGGAGCATCACTTATTTTTTTACAAAAATATATTATAGTGTTTATTTGTTATTTGTCCATAGTTGGGACCCTAAAAGCTACTATCACCTGGGGTCAGGGTGGACCTGGAACAAAAGCTATTAAAAGGTGATTCCATGCTCCTTGAAACCTTTTGAACAGAGGCCTTGTAATAACAGATTAGTTAAATAGCAGGGAAGACAGAGCTCTCAAGCTAGAAAGGCAAGTCTGAATTTCAAACCATATAGAAAGCAATGAGAATGCTACTCAACTATCGTTCTTGAGAAATCACGACAATTCACAGATAATAAAGACTATGAAACTGTAGAGAGTTATGATCACTTATATCTTGAAGGGACATGGCAAATAAAAAAATCCAATGCAAGAAAGATATTAACAAAAGCCTTCTTATTTTTATAAACACATATCTACAGGGATTAGGTTCGACCAATTAAACTTTAGTCATGAGATATCTACTCAGAAGTAAATTCACTAGAGACAGTCTTCAAGACTAGCTTGTTAACTATCACTCAACAGCAGACATGTTCTTCTCAACAGTGATATTGTGAGAATCTCAAAATATTTACTGACTTGATAGGTTGTCATCTACCTGTGTGTGTAGATCATATCTGGAGTCTGTCTTGGGTAAGACGTTAAACTACATCCGTGTCCTGGGTAAGACGATAAACTACGTCCAGCAGCAAGGCCTCTGATCAGGAGGTTTTGAGGAGCATAAACCACCTCTTAATTGCTGGTGTTCTCAGGTCCACCCTGACCCAGGGTGGCAGCATCTGTTAGGTTCCCAGCTATGGGCAAATAGTTAACTATTACCAGCATTACTTTTTTGAAAAATATTACCAGCAATACAATTTTGAAGGAAATATATTACCAGACAAAGATTTTTGACAAAACAAAATTTTACCAGCAATAAAAAATGTTGTCTGCATTAAATAACCCATTGTGATTGATATGCCGTAAAACAAAATAAACCAAACCAATCTAAACCAAAGAATATATATTCTATTCATACGAATCTATCCTAAAAATGTTGTCAGCATTAAATAACCCATTGAGGTTGATATGCCGTAAAACAAAATAAACCAAACCAATATAAACAAAGAATACATATTCTATTCATACAAATCTATCCTAAAAAGGTTGTCAGCATTAAATAACCCATTGTGATTGATATGCCGTAAAACAAAATAAACCAAACCAATATAAACAAAGAATACATATTCTATTCATACGAATCTATCCTAAAAATGTTGTCAGCATTAAATAACCCATTGAGGTTGATATGCCGTAAAACAAAATAAACCAAACCAATCTAAACCAAAGAATACATATTCTATTCATACGAATCTATCCTAAAAATGTTGTCAGCATTAAATAACCCATTGAGGTTGATATGCCGTAAAACAAAATAAACCAAACCAAACCATATCTGCAGTAAGAGGCAATGTGAAGCTTAGAATGATCAAAGCTACAATCATGGGATAATCAAGTGAGAAATAAATTCATTAGAGACAGCCTTCAACACTAGCTTATTAACCATCACTAAACAGGAGACATGTTCTTTGCAACAGTGATATTGTGAGAATATCAAAATCTTTGCTGACTTATTGATGGGTGGTCATCTACCTGTGTGTGTAGATTATATCTTGAGTAAGAGGCAATGTGAAGCTTAGAATGATCAAAGCTAAAATCATGAGATAATCAAGTGAGAAGTACATTCACTAGAGACTGCTTCCAAGGCTAGCTTGTTAACCATCACTCAACAGCAAACAATCTCTTCTTAACAGCATTGTTGTAAGAATTTTATTATCGCATGAGCAGAAATATACAACATTAAACAGAAAGAATTTGATGAGCCTGGTAAGTCTGTGATTAAATTCTTTGGAGATTTACTCTCAATTCATGAAGAGAAACAAGAATTTCTGAGAAAAGAACTTGATGAACCATTTTCTTACCTTTGAAATTTTCCCTTATGAGCCCTAAGAAAGCTGACTTGGGGATTAGCACTTCGGATCAAAAGCTGGATTTCATTCAACAAATTCTACAAAAGAAAAAAGCAGATGCCAGTAATTAATGATTTGGTTTACAGTATATCATCAATTCTTCAGTTGATCTAATACTGAATCATATCATACTCCTGTAAAGCTAAATAGTTTGTCATCAGTTCTGTTTATGTGAAAGCCAAATAGCTTGATGGTGACCGATTTGCTCAAAAGCCAAATAGCTAGAGATTAGTTCTGTTTTAGCAAAAGCCAAATAGCTTGACATTGGTTCTATTTTGGCAAAAGCCAAATAGCTTGGAATCAGTTCTGTTAGGGCAAAAGCCAAATAGCTTGGCATCGGTTCTGTTTGGGCAAAAGCCAAATAGCATGAAATTGGTTCTGTTTGCGCAAAATCCAAATAGCTTGAAATTGATCCTGTTTAGGCAAAAGCCAAATAGCTTGGAATCAGTTCTGTTAGGGCAAAAGCCAAATAGCTTGACATCGGTTCTGTTTGGGCAAAAGCCAAATAGCATGAAATTGGTTCTGTTTGCGCAAAATCCCAAATAGCTTGAAATTGATCCTGTTTAGGGAAAAGCCAAATAGCTTGGAATCAGTTCTGTTAGGGCAAAAGCCAAATATTTTGACATCGGTTCTGTTTGGGCAAAAGCCAAATAGCATGAAATTGGTTCTGTAAATAAAAAGCCGAATAGCTTGAAATTGATCCTGTTTAGGCAAAAGCCAAATAGCTTGGAATCAGTTCTGTTAGGGCAAAAGCCAAATAGCTTGACATCGGTTCTGTTTGGGCAAAAGCCAAATAGCATGAAATTGGTTCTGTTTGCGCAAAATCCAAATAGCTTGAAATTGATCCTGTTTAGGCAAAAGCCAAATAGCTTGAAATCAGTTCTGTTAGGGCAAAAGCCAAATAGCTTGGCATCGGTTCTGTTTGGGCAAAAGCCAAATAGCATGAAATTGGTTCTGTTTGCGCAAAATCCAAATATTTGAAATTGATCCTGTTTAGGCAAAAGCCAAATAGCTTGGAATCAGTTCTGTTAGGGCAAAAGCCAAATAGCTTGACATCGGTTCTGTTTGCAAAGATCAAAATAGCATGAAATTGGTTCTGTTTGCGCAAAAGCCGAATAGCTTGAAATTGATCCTGTTTAGGCAAAAGCCAAATAGAATAATAACACAAATCTCTAACAACACCTACCAAAACATTTAAAATTAATCAATCTTAATGCTTTTAAAGTTGAGTAGACTTTTTGTAAAGAAATTGCTCAATAAGAAAATGAGTAACAATAGTCAACAGATGAAGAAAAGCTTGAAAGACATTTTTTTTGTGACTGACTTCAAGTATCACATATAAAATGCTGACACGGCAAATGATTTGCATATGAAATTTGATGATCGTTCCAAAGCTAAGTCCTTTGAACATAACTTCCTCTGTTATAAATATATTAATTTATACAACCAGTAACAATATCCCCAATTAAACCTAAAGTCAGACATCATTTTGAGGCTTGAATATCATCAAAGATGATATTCAATCATGAGATTGTTTGCTGTTTAGAAAATGTAAACACAAGCTTAAAATATTTCCAGCATTTGTCAGTTTTCAATGTGAGACACTTGTTCTGATGCAATCTCTTTCAAATTTGAGTTTCTTTATATATTTCATCATGACAATACACTACTGCAGTGTTACAGGCAAGGAATGATAGTGTTTTGTGTTTGGTTACCATCTATGACCATATGAAGAACATTAGTCAGTTATAATCATACTTATTATAAAACCCAGTTTGTGTGTGTGTGTGTGTGTGTGTGTGCACGTTTATATATTGGATCAGATTTCCTACATTTTGCAAATGATTTCCAACAAAACTTCACAGGACTACATAAAATTACCTTGTGGTAGTTCTGACAGCGACAAAAATTGGAAAAACACAATTGTTTTTGCACAAAATCAATTTGAAAACACGATTAAGAGGCATCGCGAGAATGAAAGGGGGACAACTCATATCGAGTTATACTTATTATAAAACCCAGGTTGTTTGTGTGTGTGTGTGTGTGTGTGTGTTCGTTTATATATGGGATCGGATTTCCTACATTTTTCAACCGATTTTGACAAAACTTCACTTTTTTTTTTGGCAGGTAGTGTTTCTTATTGTCTTGCACACTATTTTCTTTATTTTTACATTCAGAATGCTTTAAAAATTCCATTTACAAGACAATTGTTTATAATAAAATTCTATTCAATTGGTAGACTCATAACGATTGAAAACAATGTTTTTGTTTGAGTTTGGGTTTGACAAAAACAAAACAAAACAAAAAAAGATTAATTAAGACATGCTTGTCCGTCAACCTTAAACAATAATCTTTGTCAATTTTATTTTTCAGTCTTTATAACGGTCGATACTTGATCTATCTCTTACTGTTACATCCCTGGGCAATGCCAGGCTCTACTGCTAGTAAACGATAGAAATGTGATAAATGGTACAGTTTGCAACATTCCACAAAGGGGGAAAAAAGGACACATGATCAAATATCTGGCTATTTATTCAGATCAATCAAGATCCTGTCAAGTGGACTCTTGTTCTTTTTGCAGTTGGTAGGGGAGGAGGAATTCAGTTATCATAACAGTTGTTGGTAAACACAATTGAATTGGTGAACCAAGTTCAAATTTTGATTGCATCTGTTGCATTCTCTTTGCACTAATGCCCTTAGGAAAGGCATGAAACCATCTCTTCTGCTCATCAGTTATAGATTATTTCACCGGGCATATTACAATCTAGACTTGGATGGCAGCTAGCCTAAGAGAAAGACTGCTCTAAATTTAAAACTGTGGAGAAGGCAACAAGAAACCATTCCACTACTTCACATATTAAAAAGAAACAGAAGCTGTGGAGGGCCATGTTCGTCTATATTCTGAAAGGATGATGCATTTCAAAGCCAAATGAATGTTGGGTGTTGCATTAATTTTTCAGTTTTCACATTTTGTGGAAGTCAAATTCACAAGCAATTAATCCACAAATGCAAGCCAGTTAAAAAAAATATAGACTGGTACAAGACCATGGAAGGTTGGGAGATAGACTACAGGAAGTATCATATTTTAAATCTGCTTGTTCCTTAATTATCACATACATAGGGCCCTAACATTACTGCAAATTGACAATGAACCATTTGTGTTTGATTGTGAGGATAGATGTATCAAAGGCACTGTTTAGTTTCAGGGAAAAGAAATAAACAAGGAATAAATGATAGAAAGAGAAGATAGAGATAATAACATTCATGGATTTAACGTCTGCCTCAGTGAAATGGAAAACATTGACAGTTTTGTATCTTGTTATTTGTACCTCCCCCCCCCCCCAACAGTTTCTTTTTTCACACTTCCCACCTGTGGAACTCCCTTCCATTTACATGCTTCCCCAATAAGTACAATTTTCAAAAATTTTTTTTTTAAGCATTCAACCCCAGAAGCAAGGTGGGACACCACTAGCACGCAAGAGGTTACAGAGAGTAGGAGCAAGAGCAAAGAGGAGTGATATAGGAAAGGATGAAGAGAAGGATAGGGGATAGATCAGGGCATCTGGAGACGTCAATTGACATTACATTTGAATCGTTGGAGATTATAGCTATCAGGAAAACAAGAACTGGGGAGGGAGTTCCACAGGCGAGAAGTGCGAGACATGAAGCTATTGGAGTAGAAGAGATGGCTACATTTAACAGTTTCGCCAGTGAAAGGGTGAGAGCGAGATGCCAGCCTAGTTGAATGCTTAAATTCATGAAGTCTGGGGACTAGCGAAAGCAGCTCACCAGAGCAGTTACCGTGAATTTAAATGCAACAGGTAAGTTTTATGCTGATAGTTTCTTCTATCGCACTTCTCGCTTGTGGAACTCGCTTCCTACCTCTTGCTTCCCAATAAACATTAATCGTCAAAAATTTAGATGCAATGTCAATCGTTATCTTCTGTCTTCTTAATTCCCATTCTTTTATTGTTCGCTCTCTGTAATAGTGTTTTTTATTTCCTCATATTCTCTTACACTCAGTAATCTTAGTGGCTATATTGCCTTTCTTGGAATGAATTCATTAAAAATAAAAACAAGTAGATCATCTTTATAGGCTCAATATACTTACCTGGCACAGGCCAGGTAGGTTTTATCATCTCTCAGTTACGTCTCTGTCTTCGGGCAGAGTGCGACTTGGTTGCGGCTCCGTCAGAGGACAGGGGTGCAACTGAGGAAACTCACACTGTGAGGTGCCCAGCCCTGGGGAACAGATGCCCGAGGTTGCACCTTCTCATAGGACTAGAGAGAAAACATCGGTGCTTGCACTGATGCCAGTGCAAATGAAGGGAATTTTTGTTCTTGGCCCAAGTGTACATGCTCAGGTTCCCCACATTAAAAACCGACTTTGTGTCACAACCAGACTCAGTGGGGAGGCCAGGGTAAATATACTTACGTCATTGTTTCTACTGGTAATGAAAAGGACATTGTTTACCCAGCCAGTGGCACACTGATTCATCAAAATTGGGAATATAAATCTGTAAATATAAACAATGCATTAGTAAACATTTATTTTTTTTACTTTTCCTGTAATATTCCTCCCCCTCATATTGTTATTATGACTATTATTATAATTTGTTTCTTTGTTTCTTAATTAATACGACCATTACATCATACCAATGCCTTATTAATAATGGACTATTCTGTTTTGATGACATCTGAAATTGAAATAGCAGTGTCCGTTTCAGAGTGGCCTCATTTTTTAGGTGCTAATTCCTTGACAGAACTAAAGTCATATTGGTCCATTTGTTTGGGTAGTGATTCCATGTCTGATTTATCTGGGGGGGTTTACTCCTGCAGGGGCCAAAATCCTTCAATGACACAGTATCTCATCTCCTGTCTAAGTGTTGGGCAAACACGTAATTCAGGTTTGCCTGTATTAATTTGATTTCGTTTACTAATGGGTCATTTTTCTGTGTTGAACGTGGCATCTCAGAAGGACTTTATCAAGTTGTGACAGCCATGAAGAGAGTGAGGTGCCTTGTAAAAGTTCTATATTGGAATAAAGTTGAATAAATTGTAGTGAGAAAATGAACGCAGGTGTAACATAACTGAAGCTTTATTCGATTTAGAATGGAATGTATCTTACTGGACTTACTTAAATACAGAATATGTACATGGCTATAAATTCCATACCATACTCTGTTTCCACTGATTTTGAGCCTGTATTGCTTGGCCCAGTGATTGCATTCACAAATGTTTTTTTCCTATTTAACCCTCTTGCATGGTTTTGTTCTGAAAAATTCTTGACATGACACCAAGGCATCATTCTAAATAAGAAATCTGGTATTTGGCATGTGGTTTCATTTGGGGAAGTGAGTCAGATTGGGAACTTTTCAACATCCCGCATATTAAAGATTTAAACAAGATAAAGGAGATTAAAAAAAGTAACTGTTTCTTACCTGTTTTCAAGAAAGCAATTATCTGGATTAACACACACAGTAACAGCACCTAAAAGATAAAATACAATTTCTGTATCTGTCTATATTTCTGAGATGAGGTGTTGTAATTATTTACACTATTTACATTGTTTGGACTGTTGTCCTCATCTTTATTGCCATATTCACCTTCAACATCTGTCTATATTTCTAAAATGAAGTATTATAATTATTTACACTATTTACATTCTTTGGACTGTTGTCCTCATCTTCGTTGCCATATTCATGATGTTTCGGCTGTTGTACACTCTGACCTTTTTCAGGATCTGTCTATATTTCTGAAATGAGGTATTGTAATTATTTTCACTATTTACATTGTTCAGACTATTGTCCTCATCTTTATTGCAATATTTATGACGTTTTGACCATTGTATGCTTTGACCTTCTTCAGATGATTGGAATTTCAAACTGAACCCTGGCACATGGAACTAGAACAATGTATACCAGTGGACAAAATAAAGGGTTCAGTTTGAAATTCCAATCGCCTGAAGAAGGCAGGAGTGTAGAATAGCCAAAATGTTGTGAATATGACAGCGAAAATGAGGACAATAGTTTGAACAATGTAAATAATTATAATTTCTGTATTTGCACAGAATGGTTTCTTCAGGAATCAAAAATTTATTAAAACCCGCCTCTTGTTTATTCTGTAAGTTATTTACATGTTTACTTTCATCTTAGTATTTTATGACTGTATATTAGCATTCTACTAATAATTCTACTGTATATTAATGATTGGTGGGTGCATGGTAGAATAATGGCTAGTGGCTCAGATTGAGGAATCAGAGAGCTGAGTTTGAATTCCAGTCAAGTTCATTACATTCACATATGCACAAATACTCTCAGGAAAGTTATGAATCAATCTCTTCTCTCCCTAGCTATGGATAAAATAGCAGAACAGACTGGATCCTATAGCCTTGGGTGGTAACCAGTCTAGGAGAAGGAGAACTTTGAATTCAGAACCTCTAACTATGGGTTAAATAGTAGGCCAGTCTGGGCTGTTTAGCCTTGGTTGACAACCAGTCTATGAGAAAGACAACCCTAAATTCAAAACCTCTAACAATGGGTTAAATAGTAGGGCAGTCTGGGTTATGTAGCCTTGTTTGGTAACCAATCTATGAGAAAGACAACTCTGAATACAATTGATTTTTTAACCTCATCTTATCTAAAGGTTGCTTTATATATGGTAATATACGGTATTCATTTGTGTGTGTGTGTGTGTGTGTGTGTGTGTGTGTGTGTGTGTGTGTGTGTGTGCGCCTATGTGGAGAGGTATGCTGGACTAATGGATAGCAGCTCATATTGAGGAATCAAAGAGCTGAGTTCAAATTCCAGTTGAGTCCATTACATCAATTTATGTGCTAATATCCATGGGAAAGGTATGAATCCATCTCTTCTCCTTTATGGGTAAAATAGCAGGACAGAGTGGGTCCTATAGCCTTGGGTGGTAACCAGTCTAAGAGACAGAAACTATGAATAAAAACAGGATTGCACTATCCTAAAAGTGTGTTTACATGTGGCTGGTGACTGCTTGTGAATCCAAATTCCTACTAAAACACCTATAACGAATTTGCACGTCTGAATGAATACAACCTCTGCTTCGATTGGTCAGCTTTTGTTTGGATGCAGTGGGCTCATTTGATGGAGCTGGCTCAACCGACTGGGTGATTGCCACAACAAGTACATGTATAATAATGACCTACCTAATAAACATACTCTGATTGATAGTGAGTATCTATGCGGATGATACAACTGTTTATAGGTGTACCACCAAAAATCTGGGAGGCCAGAACCTAGCAACTCATCTCCCATTTGACCTAGCCCAGGGGAGGGGGATCAATGGGGAAAGGACTGGCTTGTAAAATCCAATATAACCAAAACCAAACTAATAATGTTCTACCACCACCAAGCAGACCCTGAAATTTCACCTATCATGATGTGAGGCTTCTTGTCTTGAATGTCTGGTGAGACTCAAGCTCTTTCCAGACCCCAAGTGGAACTCATATATCAAATATTGCTAAAGATATTGGGAAAATGGTTGATTCATTGTACCATTCCATTCATTGTACCATTCCAATAAGTATCAGACATTCCCTGCTGTACTTTAACTTTACAAGAACCAGATCAGACCAAAAATGAAGGATTACTACTATATCTGGGCTGGAGCTGCCTAGACCTCACTTGCCTGTCTTAATAGGGTTCAAAGTATGTACGTGGACTTGCGGATAATTTTTCACCCTACAGCCCCCTTTCCCATAGACAAAATGTTGTGAGACCCTTGCTTCTCTGTCGCTATTTTCATGACATGTTCTGAGAAGCTATATTCCTTAGACCCTACCAACTCTGACCTTTGCAACTGAGACCCACCATGCAACATACACAAGGGTGAATCATCCCCTTTCTCTTCATATTCCATTAGTAAAGAGGAAGTTCCTGGCTAGATGTTTTCCCAGTCACTACAACCTTGACCTATTCAAGTCTAGGGTTAACTGTTAGTTTTCCTGCATAGCTGCATGAACTTCACTTCTTGCTCCTGCTTACACTCATACAATACTATACATTCTCTACCTTGAGTGGCTCTAGGATTTGTATTGGGTGAACATTAGTATAAAGAAAAAAGTGCCACCTATCTTGATCAGACACTCACCCCAATCATCAAAGGGGGTAAAACACATTCAGTCAGTTATGTGCCATGCGTGACACCCACTTAGGTGATCATGTATCTTTCGATACATGACTGTCAAGGCAAATTTTTTCCCGCAGTAGGTTGTCATTTTTTTCTGTGGTAGACCAGTTGCCATCCAAGGCTATAGAACCCAGTCTGTCCTGCTATTTACCCATAGGTGGAGTGGGAGAAGAAGAGGATTCATATCTTTCCCAAGGGTATTAGCACGTAAATGAATGTAATGGATTCGACTGGAATTCGAAGTTAGCTCTCTGATTCCTCCGATTCCATTACTCCCTTTTTTTGTAGTAGGTTGCCATTTCTTTCTTCCATATACCAGTTGCTATCTAAGGCTATAGAACCCAGTCTGTCCTGCTATTTACCCATAGCTGGGAGGAGAAGAATAGGATTCTTACCTTTCCCAAGGGTATTAGCATGTAAGTGAATGTAATAGATTCGAATTTGAACTTGGCTCTCTGATTCGTCAAACCAAGTTGCTATCCATTACTCCACTGTGCTGCCATACACATTAGTTAACCATAACAATTTGGAGTTTGTAATTAAATGCAATAAAAAAAATGTTCTAAGAATCTTTAAGGTTTTAAAGAACTTACCAATTTTGATTTGTTCCCGAATTTGTGAATTTGGATGAGTCAAGATGGCCCGGACTACGTCCATAGTTTCTGCATAACTATAAAATAATTATTTTTTTTGTGACATGATGACAAAATTTCTTAGAATTACTTACTTGACATTATTAGACATTTACTCAGGTAAAAATCCCTAAATGTTTGGTAAATGATAGTTTAGAATGTGAGAAATATATTATAGCACCGGTCTATTGGAAAACAACCATATTTCTGTTAAGAATCCTACATGATTTCTTTTCAGAGGAACAGTCATCAGTAATGAATTTCTAAAGCAAAAACAATTTTTAATGTGTCTTGGCTATGGATATACAAATCCAACTATTGACAATTATTTTTATTATGAGTTTTGCAGTGTATATGCAAATTCATAAAAATAATTGGCAGTGCATTTCCAGGTTAAAAATAATTGCTGATGCCTTAATACAACCTAAAATCATTGGTAATCAGTTGCAGTGCTTTTCTAATATAGAAAAATTACTGGTTGTGTATTTCCATAGCAAAGATTACATTGTCTATAGAGTTATTTTCTTGTGTATACACTCTATGGTCTTTTGTATGTATTTATAATAGTGTCTTGTGTATGTAGTCATTTTTATCACATTTATTATACTGTCTTTCATATACATTTTTTACATTGTCATATATATATATAGACTTTGCTTTTTAATTTTATCTTTTCACTAGAAATAAATCTTCTAATTTTTTGTGGTATTGTGATGTGTGATTGATGGATTGAAAATATTTGACAATCATGACTTTATACTCCTACTATGCATATTTAAATTAATGATTCCATAGTAAGGATTTTTGCATTGTGCAAACAGTTATTTTTTTGTATACATTTTGTATTGCCTTAAGTATACATCTATAATAGCGTCTTATGCATATAGTTATTACATTCTTTTAGAAAATACATTGTCTTTCATGCATATGTTTTACATTGCATAGTCTTTATTTATTTAGCTGTACCTTTTTCTCTGAAAATTATCACTTTAAATATATTGTAATCTTCAGTTTGCTCAATGGGTTGAGAATATTTGTTTTGACTCTGAAGGTTTTGTTTTGGATATCAAGTATATTTAAATAGTAAAAAAATTTAAATAGTAAAAAAATTGCAAATCATTTGTTATTATAAACTATTTTGACAAGTTGTGTCAGAAATGTTCCATAAATAGTTTATTTCAATCGTCTTCTTTCCTTGATACAAGAACTGGATGTTTGCCATCATGGCCACATTTACCCAGACTACTCTGTCTAGTGTTGCATCTTCTTTAAACTTCAATTTCTTAAGGTCACTGTTGACACCTTTTTGGATGTCTTTTGCCATGACTTCCCACAATGTTTAGGCTCACTATATGTAAATGTCTCTTGCGGATCGATCACTTGGTGCCTGGAGCCAACCAAAGTAGATGACCTCTACTTGCTTAGTAGCTTTGCTCCCCCTTACATCAGAAGGACAGTCCACTCCCAACTTGAGGCGTTGAAGCAGGAAACTGATCCTTGTCATCCACCTCACAGCTGTGAACCAATGACAAAAAGGCTCGAGTAAAGACACAACTTTCTACATTCAGTCAAACCATTGAACAACAGAACTCCTACTCAGTGTCTGTCCTTGTGGTGCAGCCACCTAAACAATGTGGTACACCTGCTTTCTCTCAGCCTTACAGAATACTCCCCCCCCCAGCTCCAGTGATGCCTGACCTTTCTGGCCCTGTCTGAATCACTTCTGAACTGTTGTTGGATACTGAAGAGCCAATCTTTAGAAATGGCAATATGTTACCAATGATGATTCCAACAGCCAATGCCGCGCAATTACAAACTATGGAACATCTAATTTGCTCCAATCTTGAAGATTCATGCACACTTAACAACTTTGAAAACATACCACTCCAAGTAAGGCTTTGTGTACAACACTGGATGGGTATAGTGTAGCAACTCAATAAAAAAATACTACATGTATTCTTTTTAAGGTATATTATAATAAATAATATTCCTTTCTATGTATTTTCCAATTTTAAAAATCGGCAAATATTAGGAAAATGAAAAACAAGTAGCTTTTTTTTGCAAAACAATAATACAGCCATTCTTCACTTTAAAAAAAATGAGTTTCTTTTCAGCAAGCTGGTTGCAAAATGAATTGAACTCTAAGTGAGATATCATACCTGACTACTATTTCAGGTATACTATTTGTAACGAGTTTGTGCCAGTCAGCTTCAGGTAGGCTTTAATGTCACATTTGCAACATTAGTAACATTTCTCATTTATTTTTAAATATTTATACAGTAGAGTACTGAACGGCAAATGTTTATACAGTAGACTACTGAACAGTAAATGTTTATACAGTAGAGTACTGAACAGTAAATGTTTATACAGTAGAGTACTGAACAGTAAATGTTTATTCAGTAGAATACTGAACGGTAAATGTTTATACAGTAGAGTAATGAATGGTAAATGCTTATACAGTAGAATACGGAACGGTAAATGTTTATTCAGTAGAGTACTGAACAGTGAATGTAACAATTAAATTTGAAAATCAGTTCTATATTCTATACATTACTTTGGTTTGTGGACTGTAAATACAGGAAAAGTAATGTTTTATTGATTTACCAATTTTCCATATTAATTTATCTCAATTCATTTTCATACAAAGTACAATACAGCATGGTGGGATTTTTAAAAACTTTTAATTTCATGAGATTTTATAGCAGGGATATAAGTAAGTGGGGATTGTTAAAGAGGTTAATTCATTAAATAAGGAATGTTTGTATTCAATCATTGTCCTGAATTATTTCTCTTGTCTATAAGCGAAAATTGGTTATCAAATAAAACTTACCCAGGCACAATAATTATGACTCTTAGTTCTTTGTCTGGGTGACCTTCAGTTTCATGAAAGTTTTTCCGTTGGGCCATAATTGATGTACTTAGATAATTTTGCAGTTTCACATCATCAAAGGACCTCGTTTCCTCAAGGGAATCATTGAGAATCATCCATCTGAAAAGAACAGTTAATATAGACATTTGCTCGGTATTGAAAAGTGTTACAGAATATGTAGGCTGAACTAAATATATTTTAGCTTTAAATAACCCACAAAGGGTTGATAAACCATCAGAAATGAATCAATTAATATAATATATGTTTGAGTTTCAAATAGACAGATCAGAACTATTATTATTTTAGGGGTATCCTTGTTCTGTCATAAACATATACAACAATTATCATGAGTCTGTGGTAGTAACTGAACAGTTTTTTTGATAATGTCCACTTGCATATAGACCTATCATTATCAGAATGGGGTGGTAAGTGAACAGTTTTTTGATAATGTCCACCTGCATACACACCTATCATTATCAGAATGGGGTGGTAAGTGAACAGCTTTTTGATAATGTCCACCTGCATATACGCCTGTCATTATCAGTGTGCAGGTGGTAAGTGAACAGTTTTTTGATAATGTCCATTTGTATATACACCTATCATCATCGGGATTGGGGTGGTAAGTGAACTGCTATCTCTTTAACTGCCAATGATCCCTTCCTCCCTGGCTGCTGGGCCACTACTCACTGGTTGCTTACCTACTTCTCTGACTGCTGGACCCCTTTTCTCCCTTATCTTCCTGACTCTCTGCTTATATGCATAATGGCTGGGGTCCCACCACCCCTATCCATCACTTTGTGTTCCAGAACTAGAGACCACCCAAAAACCAGAGGCTGGTCAAATCTTCAAAAGATTCTACTTTTATGATTATCTAAATCATTAACAACATTTTATGTTTGCCAAATCAAAGGCAAGCTGGAGAGAGAATTCCTGAAAACACTGACACTCAAGTCAACTCAAAGATGGACTGGAAGCGACATTCCTATGAAACTCGGATAACTAAGTGGACTTAAAAGAAATTTATCTACTTATCTTCTAAAGATGTGCGAGAAATTGTATTGTTACAAGTGAAGAGTTTTTTGATAATGTCCACCTGCATATACACCTATCATCATTGGCTTGTGTGTGTAGGCGAACAGTTTTTTTAATAATCTTGAGTACTCACCTGTTGTGTTCCTTTGACAAACTACTCAACACTTTAGAAACCTTTTCTTTATGACTTCCTCGAATTCCACTAATGATTGTGATTATCACCTGAAAAAGTAACAATTATCCATAAATCAAAAGTTTCATTTAAAAAATTTTCTTTCAATCAGCAATGGTTAAAATTATGTCCGTCATTCCTTGTTTCTAAAGGATGTAGTGGCTTGGAATGAGAAATCAGAGGACCAAATTTGAATTGCAATCAGATTAATTGAATTCACTTATGTGCAAATACCATTGGGAAAGATATGAATCCATCTCTTTTCCCCTAGATTTGGGTTTAAATAGTAGGACTTGTATCTGGAAAAATCATTGTTATTTTCAAAGAATTGTTACTGCAATATTTACTTGTAAAAAAATCATGAATCAAGAATATGCTTCAGTTTTAAAGCCACAAAGAGGTTGATAAACCATAAAATCAAAATATCCTTGTTTTTAAACATTTTTCTTTTCTTTCAGGATGTAAATGCCATGTCTCTTCAGAATGTAGGCAATTGTGGGTCTCCATAGATTTCTTTTTTATCATTAGCTATGAATTGCAATATGTCCTTCATGGAAATAGAGAGTGATTCCCTGTTGCCTTATAGTTTGGAATTCAGGTTTTTCCTTCTCATAGGTTTGATTTGGTTTGTTTTATAGCATATCAACTTCAATAGGTTATTTAATGTCAACAAGATTTTAATTCTGGTAATATTTTTTAAAAAAATATATTGCTGGTAATAATTTTTTTTTCTTCCAAAATTCATTGCTGGTAATTAATTTACAAAAATATATTGCTGGTATTAAAACCTATTTTTATATTTTCCTAGTATTTTGACCCCAGTTTTGGGGTTAACTATTTGCCCATAGCTAGGACCCTAACAGGTGCTACCACCCCGGGTCAGGGTGGACCTGGGAAGACCAGCAATTAAAAGATGGTTCCACACTCATCAAATCCTCCTGATCAGAGGCCTTGCTGTTCGATGTAGTTTATTGTCTTACCCAGGGTAGTCCTTCTCTTAGGCTGGTTGCCATCCATAGCTAGATAGACCAGTATACCCTGCTATTTAACCCATAGCTAGGAGAAGAAGAGATGAATTCATACTATTCCCAAGTTTACTTGTGCAAAAGTAAATGCAACAGAATAGACTGTAATTTGAACTCATCCTGCTGATCTTACCTTCTGGAGGGTAACACTGTATTAATTATTATTTATAAATTGACAACTCTTCTAAGAACTCTCTTTCCTTTTATCACTTACATCTCTTTATATATTTTAAGGTTGTTTTTTAAGTATAACTTTATATTTTTAAGCATAACTTTATATTTTTAAGTATAACTTGTTTTTAGATATAGCTTATTTTCTAATATAATTTTTTTTTATTTCATTATATTTTTTATTTTTAAATATATAATTTATTTCATCTTATATTTTATTTTTAATATATTTTTTATTTTTAAATATAACCTATTTATTTTATATTAAATATAACCAATTTTTAAATATAAATTATTTAAATATGATTTTTTTAAAATATGACTTATTTTAATACATCTTATTTTTAAATATAACTTGTTTTTGAATCTGACATTGTATTTTTAATTATAAACTTCTATAGTTTTTAATGTTTTTTTAACCCCATTTTTATTACTCTCTTAGTTTTAAATTAACATTTCATTCTTCATATAACTCCAAGTTAATGTCATAAGGTTAATATCTGGGTTTAATTTTATAAAACCTCTTCCCTTTAAGACAAATATCTTCTACCCTCCCCTAACCACTCTCTTGTGCCTTTTGTCTGACTGAAACATTGAAATTGATAAATTCTGTATTGGTTTTTTGATTTGTTTTTTCTTTTTTTTTTGTAGCTTTCACAGTTAATTTTCTATTTCTGACACAAACTCAGTCTATACTGGGGTTGAATAAGACAGACATATTTTTTTGTCTGTTGAAATAAGGTTATTCCCCATATGAGGTGATTTTGGATTTTATTGTGTATTAACTTTTGCTGTGTAATTATAAATACACTGAGCTCTTTTTGTGGATCAGTTTTAATATTTTATATTTCAAGGATCTACTTGGATTATATACTAATGGATTTTACTGTATATATATATATATATATATATATATATATATATATAAATAAAAGAAACACTGGTTATCGGATCTGACAAGGTAATTTAATTTGTCTATATTTCTGAGATGAGGTATTATGTACACTATTTACATTATTTGGATTATTGTCCTCATCTTTTTCGGCATATTTATTACAACATTTTAGCCGTTGTATGCTCTGGCCTTCTTCAGGTGGTTGGAATGTCGAACTGAACCCTTTATTTTGCTCACTGGGGTAGACTGTTCTAGTGAGCGAAATAAAGGGTTCAGTTCGACATTCCAACCACCTGAAGAAGTCCGGAGTGTACAATGGCCGAAATGTAATAATATAGTGACAAAGTTGAGGACAATAGTCCAAATAATGTAAATAGTGTAATTTAATTTATTGCCCCTTTTCAAAAATCCCAATGCGTTTTCCTTACACAGTTTTTTTCGTCATTTCAAACTGAAAAGGCCAAACGTAACACATGCCTCATCGGCAAAAAGAGTCCTCATGAGGACTGTTATAAAATAAAATAAGACATATCTCGGCTGATTTACAGGCAAATACTCAAGAGCAAGAACTGGATGTGAACGGGACAAAGCCCCATCACAAAATGACCATTATCTTTCTTTACAAATGTTCCTGACACGTGTTCCGGTCAAAAAATAAAATAATATTTAAAGTGCTCTAATTTTCGTCCAATAAAAATGCTTCCCTCCTAATTATACTCGCTTTGTTTCTCAAGCCTGTTAAGCCATAAAAAAAACGCTATAAAAGGGGTCACACGGAAGTTCAACAGGCAGTCCGCAGGTGCCCAGGATAGAGACCTGTCACGTTCATCTGTGAACTACTATGAGAGATCGACCTAGATCCGAAGCTGGCTTATGAACTTTACCACAAGGTAGCTGTCCCAAACCCACACGTTCCTGTTGAAATAAACCATGTAAATCTATTTCTGCTGTTGTCGTATTTCTTTCTTGCAACCATACGCTTGTCTATAATAAGACTATGGTCAATTTGTCAAGAAAGTAAATTCTTGATGATTGGTTAAGAAAGATGATCTGAGCATACATCAGTATTGTTAAGTGCCTGGAAACCATACTATGGCTTGATTCAAACCATTTGAGTGAAATTGGGTAGACTTAACTGATAGGAAACCATCAATGGTTGTGTAAAAATGACGGCACAAGTCGTCCTGACTTGAGGGTTTGAATATTAACCTTTCTCAACTACTAATCAAGCCAGATTATGGACCCTGTTCCTGCTACTGTGTATCTAATGTTTGTTCAGCATAGTTATGATATAAACTACAGGTTGGTTCTGTGGGTGTTTAGAGAAACACAGATGTACCTGAGCAGGCACCTTCAACAGGGATTAACCATCCCGCCAAGTAGATTTCTTTTTTTTTTCTTACCTTGTTGTCTGTCTCTTCTGTCGCTGTTGACCACTTTGGCCATTTTTTCAGTAATACTGGTAACAAATTGGATTGCACTAATATTTCGTAAATGCTGTGCTGACCAGAAAGACGGAAAAAAAA